TTGTGTCAGCAAGGGAAAAACTGAACATGAGTTCTGGGTGGCGATTCAATGGTGTCTGCTATCTGGTGTCTTCGGTCTGCTTCCTATCCTGCAACAACCTCCCGGCTGACAGAGCTTTGCCACAAACATCAAGGGCCCTGTTGGTTTCCCCACAGCACTGCTTAAAAATAGAAGCTGGCAAGCAAAACCCCTGGGCCGTGGAAGGAGGCCCGAGGCACGAAGGTTGCCACCCTGCCGTTGTGTAGCGGGTGCTGGCCCAGCCCGCCTGCCATGTGCAACTCACTGCTGACACTGTGGACACACGTAGAGAGTATGGGGAAGGTGCACGAGTCCTTGTAGGCTTCTAACCTCAGTTCAATGGCAAAAGGAGACACGTTAGAAAAGCAACCCAGGGCGTCACTGGAGACAAGCAGGATGGGAACTTACAGAAGGCAAGAGCGCTACGTTTCACACAATTTCATTCCCACTCTAGAAGCACGAAAGAGGAGTCACTGATGGCCTGGGTTTGAGAGCAAGGATCCTTTTGTAACCCAAATGACAGAGGGGAGACTCCAGGTGACAGTGATGTTGATTTGGGATTAGGCGTTGCAAGTAAACTGTGCATGTGTTCAGGGAGGCAAAGGAAGACAAAGGCTTGCTTCCTTCCCTCCTTCCTCCCTCTCTCCTTCTTTCTTTCCTTCTATAGAGACGGTGGTCTTGCCATGTTCCCCAGGTGAGCCTTGAACAAGTGATCCTCCTGCTTGGTCTCTCAAAGTTACAGGTGTTAGCCACCACACCGGGCCACAGACAAAGGTTTTTAAAGAAAACAGGGAGGACCCCACAATGCTTTCGAGATAATTACCCTTGGTTACAAGGACCGATTGCAAGGGTGGGGCTGGGAGGAGGCTAGATGGGCAGCTGCCGGCCAATACCCTCATGGAAGAGTTATGATCACTTTTGTAAGGTTGCCATGGCTTTCGTGCAAGGTTGGGGTTTTGCAGTTCTCCTGTGATCGTTCTTATTATCTGACATCTGAGCATGAGAGCCCACCCTGCACAGCCTTTGAGGACTCTAGTAAACCCATGATTCTGACAACCTTCCCCCTCGGTCCCTGAGCTGGAGTCCAGGATGGCGCACCCCGGTCTCCCCCAAGCATCCTGCCTTGGCGTCCCTCCTTCACATGACTGCTCTTGCTAAGGGTGCTAGGGGTTCCCCACGGCCACCTTGCGGCTGGCTAGACTGCCCCACTTGATCTCTTCCAGTAGTCGAGCTAGCTGGCCAGATTTCATGGTAAAACATGGCCCCCGCGTCCATGTGTGCATTCTCAAACGCCTCTCCTTATCTTACCCTCCCTTGTGGTCTCCTTAACAGAATTCCCACCCTCCCCACAAACAAGACCTGCAAACACAAGTGTCCCTCTGGCTGTCTTGGCTTTTGTCCACTCTCTCCTCCTCACAGGGCCTCCCTGGTGGCCTCCTGCACATCCAGGCTCTAGCGACCCGGGCTTTATCTCCAGACCCGCGTCACTGACTATTGCCGTCTGTGCCCACATGCCTGTGGATGCTGCCCACATAGTTGCCCCAAGTTTATCTTCCCCTCTGCCTCTTCCAAAGCTTTCCCCTCCCCCTTTCCCTACCTTAGGGAGTAGCACCCCCTCCACCCAAGAAGCCAAGCCAGAAGTCCATGCCATCCTCACCTCCTCCCTCTCTGGGTTCCTTTTGGTTCTCTTCGCATGACCTCAGATGTGTCTCTGCAGCCCAGCCTCTCTCCTGGGCCCCACCCACAGCCCTCGCAGGGTCCCATCAGAGGGTGATCAACAGTGACTCAGGCATCCCTCCTGCAACACTGAGGCCTCCCCTCTCCAACTCTTTCTTTAGCCCAGCCACCATCACACTTAGAAACGCCAGTATTCAGAAACATTTAAAAAGTGGGTTGGTGAACTGACATAGTGTTGCCTTTAAAAAGTTTTTTGTCTGCCAGGTGCGGTGATTTGCGCCTGTAATCCCAGCACTTTGGGAGACGGAGGTGGGAGGACCGCTTGAGCCCAGGAATTCGAGACAGCCTGGGCAATGTAGTGAGACTCTGTCTCAATGAAAAAAAAAAATTAGCTGGGCATGTTGGCGTGTGCCTGTAGTCCCAGCTATGTGGGAGGCAGGGGCAAAAGGACTGCCTGAGCCTAGGAGGCCAAGGCCACAGTGAGCCTTGATTGTGCCACTGGACTCCAGCCTGGGCAACAGAGTGAGAACCTGACTCAAAAAACAAAACAAAACACAAAAATCATCTACTCTTGCTGTCATTTCACAATAACAATGCAAAAAGACGACGAAACCTCCCAAAATAAAAAGCATCATACTCTCAAAGCAGAAGACGGTTCTTTAAGGACCCCCGGCTTTTCACACGAAGCACAGCTTGCTGGACGGGGACCACGGACCGACCCCGAGTCCAGACGGCTGTCCGAGAGGTCTTTCACCGACAAGACGGCCGTGCCATCCCCGTCTCGAAAAGCTCTGGGTCACCTTCACGCACTGATTCACGCACATCACCCACGTGCCTTTCGCTCGACTGGCCGTGTGTGGCCCTCACTGTGGACACGCTGCAGCCTCCTATTCCCGGGCGTTTGAGGCTTTCTCTCGCGGACTCGTCCCCTGCTCCACATGCCCTGGAGCCTCACGAGCAAAGCCCTGCAGGACCCCGCAGTTGGGCCCGATTCGCCCACCCCTCGGCGAAGACCCCCAGAC